TATTTGCATGCGTCCCGGCCCCTCCCTCGGCCCCCGCCCCGCCTCGCCCGCGGGCTGCGCGGAGGACCTGTCACACCTCTTCCTGGGTCGAAAGCCCGAACTCCCCAAACTCGCTCATGGCTGTCCCAGGGCCAGCGCAGGCGAGCGGATGGTTTGTGCGAGCTCCCTTCCGCTGCTCCCACCTAGTTGCCCAGTTCCATTTGTGTCTGTCTCCTGCCCTTGGGGCCTCCCACAAGCCTCTCCAAATCGCTGTGAATTTACCTTCTTTCCCTTCTCTCTTGTAAATACCCCTCACGGAGGAAATAGTTTTGCTAAGAAATAAAAGTGACTATTTTATTAGGACTTTGTTCTCGGTTATTCACCCGTCCCCTTGGGCCTGTGCGGTCCTTCCCAAGGGGCGGTGAGGGAAACGCCAGCCACAACACCCATCTCTTCCAGCTTAAAGGGGAGGGTTGAATGGCACCAACCCTTTTTAAAACTGTATTTGGGGGTAGAATTGGCTCACATCCACTTGGAAACCCTAAATGGTGGTTAAAGTCATGGGTTCCCAGGGCCTGGCAGAGAGATGCAAAGTAGATAAGGAGCCACAGCTCTGGGCTCTTCTTCTTGTGACTCTGAGGGGCCACACAGGCAGTACTGGTGGCTCCCCACAGACCCTGTTCCAAATCAGACACACCTCCCTTAACTGCTCCCTAAATTCCCTGGCTCTACATACTTCACAATAAATATGGGGACAGGGGACGGTTGGCAGCCACAGAAACATTCTGGTTTTAGCCACTTTTCAACCCCTTTCTAAGCATAGGAGGTAGGATATACCCTTGAACTAGGGAGTCTCCTTCCTAAATAAAACTAAACCAGGCAAATGAAGTCTCCCACAGAGAAATCTTAGAGGAGTGAAACCAGGTCCCAGGAAGTTTCTCCTCCCTGGCTGAAGACAGCTCAGGAAGCTGGCTGGTTGCAGAGGCATTGAGCTAGCAAATATATTTTTGGTAGGGGGTGTCAGATAAAATACAGGACACTCAGTTAAATTTGCATTTCAGATAAGCAATGGATACATTTGCATAGGATACACTTAACCTTAAAAATTATTCCTTGTCCTGGCCAGTGTTACTCAGTGGTCGGACCATCAGTTGTGCACCAAAGGGTCTCAGGTTCAATCCCGAGTTGGGGAGGCAACCAATCAATGCGAGACACATCAATGATTCTCCCCCCTCCCTCTCTCTCATTCTCTCTAAAAATCAATGGAAAGATATTCTCTGGTGGGGATTAACAACAACAAAAATTATTCGTTATCATACAAATTGAACTGTGTGTTTTATTTTATTTTTTATTTCTGGCTCTAATCTGGCAACCCCTTTCTGGGGAAGAGTCAAATGCAGTGTTCCCTTCCCCTCCTAACTGATCCCAGCAGCCCTATCTTCTTTCACAGAGCCTCAGGCAGGCGAAGTCCAGAAATGCTTTTCCTTTTATTTCAGAGGAAAGGAAATAAAATCAGACACTTGCCCACCCCACCACCCCCTTAGTTTCTGCCTCACCCAGAATATGGAGTGAAAGAAGGATAGAGCCCAGTCTCCTATGAAGCCTGCCCTTCCCCCAACCCTCCCTCCCTCAAAGTGGCAAGGTTAGAAAAAAATTAACTATGTTGTTCCTCTCCCGGCACTGGACAGAGGCCCTACTGCAGCCGAGAAGGAAGGGAGGGTGCAGATGAGGGGGAAGGATGACCCAGTCACTACACAGATGCCCCCTTCCCAGCCAGAGAAGCGCCCTGGCTGGCTGCAGGGGGTGGGAGGGGTGGAGGTAGGATATGGGGCAGGGAGACAAGAAGAGCCCTGAAAACCTTTTCCCTTTAACCTGACATATTTATATATTTACAATTATAAGGGAGGAAAGGAAATTTGGAGTAATAGTTCTTCAAAGGCAGGGAATGAAAGCCACATAGCACCCCCATCTTGGGTCTTGGTCATATTTTCCTGCCTCCCAGCTCCAAAAACCTTCAGTAGGAACAGGGGAAACAGGAGGTAGGGGGTGGAGGAGGGACTGTTTGAGGGTCCTGAGCCTACAGCTCACTCCAAAAGAAGGTGAGACAGCAGAGGAGGGACAGCCGAGTCCCACCAAGAAAAGGGCCACTTGTGCCCTGCCTCTTCACCAGCTCCCCACATCTCCATGCGGCCTGGGTGGGGGCTATGCCAGACCCATCTCCTCCAACACACTGCGTGGCGACTCATCCTCCTGAGGCAGAGACAAACAGAGGGTGAGGCAGAGACAAACAGGGTGACGCAGAGACAGCAGGAGAGGCCGACAGGGAGTGGGGGAGGTGGGTGGGCAAGACAACAGCATCACAAGGATGGAGGCAGAGTGGAGGAAGCACACAGAGAAACAGGGAAGGGGGGAGAGAGAGAGAAGCCAATGTGAGCTCAAGGCAGAACAGCTGGGGACCCTTCAGGGGAGTTTCCCAGCCCCCTAGGACTACCTCCCAGAGCCAACTGTGGCAAGGAGGGGGTCCAGGTTGAGTCCACCCCCGCCCCCCCAGAGAACCAAGGACCAGGCTGGTGAGCAGGGGGCCCAGCTTTGTATCTGAGCGAAAGGGAGTGACGCTGCAACTCGAGGATGGGAAACTTTTCTGAGGGCTGTGGGGGTGGCAAATGGTTAGGTCCTTCTTTTCAGGGTTGTGGGGGAGTAAGAGGTTGGTATCAGGTCTCTGAGGTAAGGTGAACTAGACTGCAGAGAGATGAGTCATTGGGGTCTGAGCAGAGCACTAGTAACAGGGGTGTATGTGCCAGGGGATGTGTGTTGCAGCACGTGTGTGTGTGTGTGTGTGTGTGTGTGTGTGTGTGTGTGTGTTTATGTGTGAGAAAGGGAACCTGTACCAGTAAGGTAGGTGGCAGGTTCAATTCTGCTCTTTCTCCTATTGCAGAGATGAGCCCCCTATCGCACCCCTTCCTCAGAGCCAGCTCATGCCAGCTTGTTTGTCACTGCAGATTCCGGTGACTCATCTTCCTGCACCAAGTCTCAGCAGTGGCACAGCAGAGAGGGGGCAAGCAGTAATGGGGTGAGGGCAGGGACACCAGAGAGCAGGGTGAAACAACAGCTAGGTGACCTGTACACCAACCCCCAAATCCCTACAGTTTTTTGCTTCTGAAAATCAGAGGCTCATTTTGAGTATGTGTGTGTAAAAAAGGTGGGTCGGGGGAGACACCAGGGAAGAAAAGCATTATCTACCATTTGCTCCTTCTCCAATTCTCTGAGCAACCCTTATATGCCAAGAGAAGCAAGGGACAAAGGAGATGTGCCTGCGGTGAGACACCCTGGGTCTTTCCGGAAGGAGAGAATTGGCACAGGTGTCTGCCACCCCCACCTCCCACCACAAGCAACCAGGGCTTGAGGGCAAGCTGGCCAAACAGGTGCGGGGGCCAGACACCACAGGGAGGGGGGCCCTTTGGTGGTAGTGGGAAGGGGGCAGATATGGCAGGCAGGCAGGGTGTCCAGGGGAGGGAGGGCAACTTCTACCGTGATACTTTTCCTCCTCCTCACTGTCCCAGACCCATACCTCCTGCAGCAGGTCAGCCTGCTCAATAGCCTTTAGCACACTCTTCTTGGAGGTGTCCTGGACATCACCCCCCATCAAGAACTCATCCAAGATGAAGTAAGCCTTCTCAAAATTAAAGATGATGTCCAGCTCGCACACCTGAGGAGAGGGGGAAAAGGCAGAGTAGAGTAATGAAGTGCATTCCCACCCCACACGCCCCACCTCGGTTCTCAATATGTCTCCTCATCTTCTTCATGACTACCCTCCAACCTTAGGTTCCTGCCCCAGGTCGACGACCTCCTGACCCCTAGGCCTTAGTAAGTACTTGGATCAGGTTTTCCTTCTCCTTCTCTTGCCTCTTTCTCCCTGATCATAAAATATTAGTTGCTCTTGACCGTGGCTTTTGTTGCCTTGACCCCAGAATCTGTGACATTGTTCCCAGCACTGGGCTAGCCTCCTTCCCTAAATTCTGTGGGGCAGGGAAGGAGTCGTCAATATCAGGAACTGCTGATAAAATCGGAATATGACTTTTGTCCTTTTGTGAGAAGTCTGAGCTGAGCTCTAGATGGATTGATTAAGAGGCAGATTCTGGTCTCTACCCCCTCCCCCAGACTGATTAAGGGGCATGGCTAAAGAGGGAGATTATTTACCATTCTCACTGCTCCCACTTCACCTCTCCCAAACATACCAGCGCAGAGATTCCCAGGACCCCAGAGTTCGGAGGGAAGAGGGGATTGCTGAGTATGGAAACAGGGAGGGTGACTTACGCTGCCAAAGTATTTGTCCAGGAGCTCCACATATCGGTGGATCAGTTCCAGGGTGATGAGCTCATTGTCTTGGCCCTCGATGGCGCAGCAGAAGTAGAGGCTGGCATATCTGAGGAGAGGGGCACATGAGAGATAGCTGAAAGGGCTATTGGCCTGCTCCAGGCCTCTGGGCTCAAACCTCTCATTTCTCCTTATTCCCAGCCCAGGGTCTGTGTGGCTTCGGGACAAAGGTGGGGTGGCCCCAGGGTATATAAATAGTTACTCGCTCAGCCTGTTAATGCCTCTCACAAACAGGCAACAACCAAACTCTTTCCTCCTCTTGCTCTCTGACCTGCTCAGTGTGACTCAGCAAAACCCTGAGCCAAATAATTTCACCTCCTCAGAGAAGGAACTAGAAATGGTGGCATGTGTGTGTGTGTGTGTGTGTGTGTGGAAAAGTGGCACAGGATTTACCATTTATGACTGAGACAGCAAGGGACATGTGTAATGGACAAGATAGGGCCCTTGGGACAGAAGTATGTGTGTGAAGTAGGTGTGAGACTAGAGTAAAACTAAGTGGGGAACAAGAATTTCTTCAAAGTGAATGTAGAAAGGAAAGAAAGCTGTTCATCACTGCCCTCGAGACGTCCTTAGTCGCCAGTTCTCTCTGACCCAGGGACTGCTTATAACTCAGCCATTTAAACCCATTGCCAAGCCCCAACCAAGCAGGACCCAGGCAAGTCTGAAAGTAGGTGGGGAGTCACCTCTTATAGACAACTTTGAGGTCTCTCCACTCCAGGAAACTGCACATTTTGGGCTTGCGAGCCAGAACAACCTGCATGAGCTCCCGAACCATCTTCTTTCTCTCCTTGTCTGATGTGGCCAGGTACCATTTTTGCAGTCTCAGCTTTCCCTGCCGGCTGAACAGCAGCATGAATCGCATCTGGGGAAAAGGCAGGGGGTAGGGATGGGGGAATGAGAGGCAGAGCTGAGGGTCAGAGATTTGGTTCTCTGAGTTTCTTTCCTCCACAAACATACAGCCCCAAACTCATCTAACTCTTCTCCACTCACAGCTTCTACTTTCTTCAAATAATCAGCCCTTGCTCTCAACTCTGGGTATTCCCACCAGCTGGTGTCTTTCCTTCTGGGGGGGTGGGTGTGTGTCAGAGCTTCTGAGTCTGTCTGTTATTTGGATTCAAATCCTGGCCTTACTAGTTGAGTAAGTTGCTTTGGGCAATTACTTTATGTTTCCTGGTCTGTGAAACAGATTAATAAAAGTACTTACCTTACAGAGTTGTTAGGAGGGATTAAATGAGTTGATATATGCAACAGTGCCTGGCACAAGGTAAACACTGTAACACATTAGGTATAACTATTATTTTTCTCTGACCTCCTGTTTCCAAACCATTTCCTAAAGGAAAGTAAAATACCTAGCACAGTGACAACCAGCCCATAGCTGATGTCAGAGGCTCTGTCCGCTTTCTTCCATGCTCCTATTCACAACCACACTGAAACCAGGTATTTTGTCCCTGGAGAGGCTACCTCAATTCTCCACCCCATCCTAGCCATTCACCCTTAAAGAGGTCCCTAACACACGGTTTTCCCGCCAGTCCTATGCCTAGGTATCCTTCATGTTAGCACATGGTATTGAGACTTCTCCCCCTCCAAGTTCCAGCCTCCTCTCTCCTCAGCCATTCAGGCATTTGGCCATTGATATGCCTCTCTCTCTTTTCAATCCTCACCCTAGGATATGTTTTGTTTTTTTTTAAAGAAAGATGGGGCTTTTATTTTTTTAAATATATGTTATTGTTTTTTTACAGAGAGGAAGGGAGATAGTTAGAAACATCAATGAGAGAGAAACATCGATCAGCTGCCTCCTGCACACCTCCCACTGGGGATGTGCCTGCAACCAAGGTACATGCCCTTGACCGGAATTGAACCTGGGACCCTTCAGTCCGCAGGCCGACGCTCTATCCACTGAGCCAAACCGGCAAACCGGTCATGGCTGTTTTTTTTAATTGGTTTTAGAGAGAGAAATATTGACCTGTTGCCTCCCATCTGTGCCCTGACCTGGAATCAAACTGGCAACCTTTCAGTGTACAGGGACAACGCTCCAACCCACTGAGCCACCGGGCCAAGGCTCCTCACTTCTTCCTTTCATGATGCCTCCTTTTACATGCCCACTCCTTCGCAGATATCAGGTGACCAATTTCCCTTTCAATTTTTCAGTTAGCACACTGCCATCCAGGTGGCTCTCCAAGGGAATGTGTGGCACAGGGCTCAGGCCGGGTCGGGTGGGGAGGAGTGCAGAGCCCTCCGGGTGCACACCCGGCGTGCCCCAGCTACCCAGTTCCAAGGCGTCAGTCCCAGCCTGGAGTTCTCGCCTTCTCCCTGCAGCTCTCCTCTCCACGGACTTTACCGGGGCTGGAATCCCTGGATGCGTGGAACAGCTCTCGTTTAACACTGTTCAGTAGGCTGAGGACCACAATGGGGTTTTTTGGTGGTGAGGAAGGGGAAGCGCCGTTAGCTTTTGGTGGGAAGGCAACCGAGGAGCGCAAGGGAGCAGCGCACGTCTAAGATGGGGTGGAGGAGGGGGAGCAGGAAGACGGAAGGCCTGGGTTCCGGAAGGAGAACGGGGTCGGGGGCGGAGAGCAAAGAGCTGCGGAGCCGGGTGCCAAGGCCCGGGCCCCCCAGAGCAAGACCTCGAGCCCACTTGCTCGACCCGCCGAACTCAGCCTCTCGGCGAGCCGG